AAATGAGAACACAAGACAGCAACTAAGGAAATCAGCAGGGGAAAAAATGTACTACTTCCTCTTTTCCAAGTTACAAAAGAGCAAACAAGCAAGCAAAAGAACTAAAGATGACATCTAAATGAGTGAGTGAGGCTGGGAAGGCTTTCCCTCACGCCCAGTCCATGGGAGTTGAAATACAAGCACTTTAATGCTGGCTCCAAAGAGCATGATTTCTGCTTTACTCCCCACCTCAGCCAGCTAAAAGTAAGCCTAAAAGAGGCAGACAGGCACCTGTTAAGCATACCCTTCATATATATAGCTATGCAACCTGTTGCTCAACAGTATTTATGAAAGATGAATAATGGCTTGCAAAGCTATACTGCAATTAAATGAGATAATATAACATTTGGAAATGATAATGAGCAACAAAAAGTTTGAGTGGCACTGTATTAGACAATGTAACATTTATTTGTTTAATGCTGTAAGCATCTGCTGTATGCCAGCTCTATGCTCCACAGACCATCTAAAAGAACGGACAATGTGCTCCAGGGAAAGCTAAGAGTAAAGGAACAAAAGAGCCTAGTACACAGGAAAATTAAACTACTCAGAAATGCTATGGACTAAAAGGAGGCAGGTAGGAGTACAGAGAGTAACCCAGAAGGCCAAGCCAGTCAGTTACAAACAGAATCTAAGTAACTTTGAAATAACTGTTTTTCACTCCATGGTAGTAAGAACCATGAAAGATTATAGACTTCAGGAAAGACAGCACACACAGGGTGGGACCAGAAAGAGGGTGACAATGCAAGACCAAAAAATACTCAACTCTGTGTTCACAAGTCTGCAATCAAGAGAAATCTCAAAACCAGCTTAAAAGGTTTTGTGGGTGGGTGTGTGGGTGTGTGTATATGTGTGTGCTTAGTACTACAACAAGCCAGGCACAGTGGCACACACAGCACTCAGGAGGCAGAAAGCAGGCAGACCTCTGTGAGTTCAAGGCCAGCCTGGTCTACAAAGCAAGTCCAGGACAGCCAAGGCGACCCAGAGAAACCCTGTCTCAAAAACTCAAAACAAACAAACTCCAACAAGAAAAAGACAGAGATGCCATTGTAAACAGAAAGCTGAGAGTAGACGGTAGAGTTAAAAGGCCAGTGTTCATTAGCTGCCAGCATCTAACCGCCTAGAGAGAGGGACAAGGTCTCCCGCCTCCCTCTCTAGAACCCAGGACTTGGCAGAGCAGCAACAGAACCTCTCAAACAGGCGCTGCACTAGCATCACCCTTGCACTCAGCATCCCATACGGCAGCAAATTGCTAGGCTGCACACATCACAGCTTGGTCTAACACAAGCTGGAACCAACAAACACACCTACAAATTTCAGGAGAATGAATACGAAGTCATGAAAAAGACACGCTCAGGGTGCTTTACCCCACAGAGAGGGGAGGGTGTCATCAACCATGAGCTCTGAGGACACACTGCCATTTGTCTGCAGCGACTCACAGCAGGAAGGCACTATCCTTAGAGCTACATATGTCACTGGGGGAAGTCAGGGCTAGGATTCAAAACCAACATTGAAGGCCAGAGCACAGAGGTACTTTTTACCACTTCACCATCCCTTCAGTGACAGACTTGACGCTGGTTCCCATGACCCTACCTTAGTGTGTACCCCATGTGCAATCTCTTTCTCCCTGCGCGTGACCAGGACCAGGGGCTTGCTTTATCCAAGAAAAAGGGCAAACGTAATACAGGCGTGACCATCAGCTTGCCTGTGAAGTATGCCTCCTCCTCCAGCCTGATGAATTAAGTAACTAAGTTGGAGACAACTACATGGCAGGAGTTTGAGACAGACACCTACCAAACGGCGGCAAAACTAACAATGCCAGTCTTCACACTGCCAGCAAAGCCAGTATACTTCGTAAGAGCTCTTTCCCCCGTCAGAGCTAATAAGCTTCTCACGATGCTGGAACAGAGGACTCGGCTGAAGCGCACCGAGGAAGCCGACGCACAGAAGCTGAGGTAATGATTCCATGTCTTGCCTTAAGGATGCTAACTCTGTGAGGCTACTCTTACACAGCAAGAGAAAACAGTACTGTTTGCTGCACACTGGGGTTCCTTCTGCCACACCTGTGGCTCTACTGGGAGATTTATTTTCAACTATTCTGCTATCAAGGAAACCAACTTCAAGTTTTAGCCACAATTACTTTAAAAAAAAAAGGGGGGGGGGGTTTCTCACACTGTAGCCCTGGCTATCCCGGAACACCCTACCATATCACAGGACTGTCTTTCTTAGCATGGTCTAAGTAAAAGTTCAGTTAGAAACTAGCCCTGGCTTCGGCTAGCCTGAACGTAACTGAAAGAAAACCCTGTATGACAGGCACACAGTCAGATGTGTGCACAAAGTCAAGCCACAGATCCAGCTCAATCAAGAGGACACAAGACTCAACCATTGCACTTGTCGACACCAGTGAACACAGGAAGTGTAGACTCCCTCTGTTGCTGCATCTGGAAAACACACTGCCACTAACACGAATTCTACAATGTGCCTGGCTCTCCTGAGGCAGCAGCACAGGCAGGATGGGACCCTCCCACCCCTAAGTGTGACACAATCGCACCAAACAATAGAGCTGGGCTCCCAGCACCCACATGGAGGAGTTCCTGCACTGTCCCTGGATGGGGAGTGCTAAGGGTGATGACTGACCAAAGGCTGGCCACAGGGCTGCAGGCTGGCTTTCCTCTCTCAAAATGCTGAACTTGGCTTTTGAGCTGGTAGCAGCAACGTGAAACAAATTTAATTCCCTCAATGCTACTTGTTTAACCTAAAATACAGATGATATTACGTATTTCGTAGGGCTGCTGAACAGGGTGCAACACCTAATAAGAAGTGTCTGTCCAGCAGCTCGCTAATGCAGGCAACCAGCGGTGGCTACTGCTGCTACTAAGAAGGCCCTTATTTCTAATAGAAGAAACTCAGGTTTACAGAGCCCTTCTTGAAAAAGGAGGGAAAAAAAAAAGAAGAGAAAAGAAAGAAATCTCACAGACAAAAGTGGTAACATAAGCCTGTAACTTCTGAGACTGACAAAGAAGGGTCCCTCAGGTCGAGGACAGCCTGGGCTAGAATGAGTTCCAAGCCAACCTGAGCTACACAGACTGTCTCAACTGCCAACAAGTTGGAGATTTTACCAACAAGTGCACATTTTACCTTGGTACTACTAAGCCAACGCCAACCCCATCTTGCCAGAGATTAAAGCAGAATTAAGTGTTGCCATCAAAGCTAAGCCCAAGAATACAGAAGCTGTGTGCACAGGCTACAAACCATATTCTCCCTTTCTGTCCAGTGAGCTCTAGCTGAACAGGAAAGGTCCATGGGGCAAGGCCCAGTTACACAACCTGATCTACAACTATGTCCCGAGAACCCAGCAAGAGGCCAGGCAGAGACGGACATTTTCAAGAAAGTTACTCAAGGTTTTGCTTTTCCAAATATTTACTATGGAAACTAGTTACTGGGGAAAAAAAAAAAAAAACCATAAAATTGCAGTGAAAGAAAAAAAAGTTTAGCCAGGCACAGTGGCACACTCCTGTAATCCCAGCACTCAGGGAGGCAGAAGCAGGTGGATCTCTGGATTTCCAGGCCAGCCTAGTCTACAGAGTGAGTTCCAGGACAGCCAAGGCTACACAGAGAAACCCTACCTCACAGAACAAGAACAAAAACAAAACAAAACTGCTGCACCTGGCAAGACTGTCAGCTTCTCTAGTTTCTGACTACAAGATTAGTTACAAGATTCACTTTTCAGAAACCTCTCCACGCAATCAACTCCCTCACTCTTGCTCTATCACCCAAACAACTCAAGGGGAAAATTTAGGCCAAAAGCCATCCATACTCCTTTCTTCACTTTCGTCACTTTTCAAAGCTATACTAGCTTTAAACGTGCGCATGAAAACTACTCCAAAGCTGATTTAAGTTCCAGGTGAATGACCGCTGCTCTGTTGGGCAGAAGTAATGAACGAAGAACTTAATACTCAGGCCAACTCCTCTCCGGGATCGTACGCCGCCCTGAGGACAGGCAGTGCACACCTCTGGATGCTGACAGCTTGCTAGACCCTGTCCCCATCAACAGAGCTGCTCCTAAAAGCCACTAAAAGCTGTACGGGCATCAAGAAACTGCTGAAACAGGCTCTTCCTTCAGCAGGGACGGCACCACCTTCCCCCTTCCCACTCAGCAGTGTGCCCCAACATAAAGTAGGCATTCACAAGCATTACTTTCCAGGTAAGTATCTTTCTCCTATGCACAGCTCATAAACACTGGAGAGTCTCTTTTGTGGCTTTAGTTTTTTGTTTATTTGTCTGTTTGGTTGGTTGGTTGGCTGGCTGGCTGGCCTGGAACTCAGAGATCTGCCTGCTTCTGCCTCTCGAGTGCTGGGATTAAAGGCGTGTGCCCACACCACCTGGCTCTAACAGTTCTTTGTGAGCTTGAGGTCAACATTTAAACTTGTTTTGTTTTTGTCCTGTTCTAAGGGTCTCACCCTGTAGCCCAGAGTTCTCTAGGGAGTTTTGACTCACTGCAGCCCTGCCTAAATACTGGTGTACGTGTGCTACCACAACCCAACCCCAGTTTTAGTCGTCTCTACAAGGCTCCACCTCTTTCTCTTTCTAGGTCCTCAAATTCCCTTTCCTACCCTTTATTCCAAGTGTGAATATGTCCTGTTACATATATTTGGCCCTTGGAACTAACTAAAGAAAAAAATTTAAGTATATTGATTCATTCAACAAATGTTTATTTAGTGCTTATACTGTACTAGGTACCTGGAATGCCTAAGACTGCAAAATACTTAAGTTAAAACACTGCTAATTTCTACAGAGAATTAATCGACTAGGCATCAACAGAAACTGAGTGCGTTAAGAGAAAGTGTTATGAACAAAGGACAGACAGACATGAGACCTTACAAACTAAGCCTAACTGAGGGAGGGGCAGCACCTTCCCCAACAAAGCACTGTCACAGCTGAAACTGAGTGAGGAAGCAAGTTACCTAAACAGGGCAGTAACTCCACATGGAGTAGTGGCGCAAAGATGGAGTCAGTCAGTTCTGCGGTGCAGAGAGCTGAAGCAGGAGTCAGTCACCTAGGCAAGAAGAACCCAGGTTTATGATTCCTTTAGTATTTACCCTAAAAGTCACAATAACAACATCTAAGTTTTTGGTGTTTTGAGGGTTTTTTTGGGGGGTGGGGGGGGAGTTCTTTGTTTTTTGCTTTGGGAGGAGTTTTGGTTTTCTTTTTGGTTTTACTTTTACTTTTGTTTGTTCTGAGATAAGGGTCTCACTGAGTAATTCAGCCCAGCCTCGTCTTTCCTGAGGCCCTGTCCCACCTTCCTGAATGCTAAGTTCTAGGTATGCAAACAGGAGGCTCTAAGTTCGACCATAACATCCATGTAAAAAAAAAAAAAGGGGGGGGACACCCATAAGCCCAGCACTGTGGAGCAGACAGGCAGATCCCTAGGGACTCATCTGCCCACCCAACTAGCCTGACCAGCGATCTCTGGGCTGGAAAAGAAGAGGTGGTGGACCTTGACGAATGCATCCAGAGGCTGAGCTCTGGCTCCCACAGGCTCAGCACCACAACCTCTGGCTAGAAGGTTCCTTTTGTTTTTAATGAGAGAGAATTGCTGCTTCTCTGGACCAAATCCCTCTCCACTGCTGCCACCTCAGCTTCTACTCTCTAACCTTCACCAGAGGCCTGCATCCTTTCCCGGGCCCTACTTTTTCCTTAGTCAGCACACAGCCTTTCCCAAACTATCTACTGTGCCTCCTAACTTCACTTTATTTCTTCCCTCTGTACACCTAACTGGAATACTGCTGAGTAACTGCTGGCCAGTTCCCAGGGGAACTTACCTAAATTTGCCAACACTTTAAACGGTACTATAGAATTACTATAAGAAAATGTACAAAATTAGACTGTATCAATGAGATCCTATTCATGTTCTTATCCGTGCTATTTTGAAGAACTTTCACAATCTTTTCCATCACAGAAGGAATTAGCCATCAATAATGAATGTGTCTGATATAAAAAGATAAAGCAAAAAAAATCATGACTGGGATGACAGTTTTCAAAAAAAGGTGATCAAATCACAACAACCTTCTCAGCACAGTATTTTTCTCAGAAACTAGAGCCCTGTTTATACCTAAAATAGTTTAGCTCAAAACTGTCAAACGGACTAATTTTTGACCTTCAAAAATATTTTTATGATCATTAAATCACAGAACCTGTGTCTCTTTAAATGAAAATTTATGTCTACTGTAGACTGTATCCTTAATCCTACTCAGGAAACTAAAAGATTTTTCCCACCAGAACATACTTCAATAATGGCAAAGACAACAGTGGCTCTTGTTTTAGAGTTGATTTCCAGGCTCCAGCTCCATGTTTGGCACTTTTAGGTGCTCAATAAATAAACAGTTTCAGCCAACATGGTGGTACATGTTTTTTATCCCAGTACTCAGGAGACAGGGATAAGCAGCTCTCAAGGAGTTCAAGGCCAGCCTGAGCTACATAGTGAGTTCCAAGTCAGCTGTGTGTGTGTGTGTGTGTGTGTGTGTGTGTGTGTGTATAGTGAGAGCCTGCCTGATAAATCAATACTTCTATCACCACACAAGATCGTGTCAGTTTTAAACTCCTTTTTCCCACCACGCCACTTTCTCTCTCTCATCCTTAGTGGTGCTGCAAACTGTTTCCACCCCCATCATAATGGAAGACACAAAGTGCATTAATAATTCTCTGTGGTTTCTTCCAGTCCTCAAAAGGAAGGAGCCTCAACTGTCACACTAAAACCATTCTACTCTAGAACTACGCCATCCTTCCCAAGTCACCCTCCCAGTAACCTGGCTCAATCCCCCTGCTTTCCCCCTACAGAGACTCAGCCATACTATTACGTGAATCCGGAGATTCCTGCTGCTCTCTCCTAGGATCGCTGAGAACGTCTACTTCCAAAGTCTTGTCTTCTGTCTTTTCCTTCTTGAGCCTTCACACCTAGAGGCCTTCCAAATCCTCCTTACTGCATCACCTGTCCATCAGCCAGGATTCTCGATTTCTTTCTTTCCCTTCACAGTCTGTCTCTCCTCCTCACAGCCATGCACTTGACCACAGGAAGCCTGCCTGCCATACTGAGCTCTACTCGCAACTACCTCACCTTCCCTGTGCTCCCCCGAACCCTCCCACGGCCTCTCAGGCTCCAGTCTGGCCTGCGGGCGCTCACTTTCTCTGCCCCCACATGTGCTAAAGCGATCAGATGCCCTGCCCTCTACAATCCGCAGCGACCACCGCTCACACCCACGCCCAGGGCACGCAGACCCTCCAGACTTCCACGTTTATAAAGCACCAGTTACTCACAGGATAACAGCAAACCAGAAAATAATTAATTCTAGCTTCAACTATGTATCTAACAAACAGGAGTATTCTGTTATTTAAAAAACACTGGCCTTAAACCAGGCATGGGGATCCGTACCTGTAATGCCAACATTCAGGAGTCTGAGCCAAGGGGATCCCAAGTTGGCTAGAAGCATAATGGGATAGGGGAAGCATGGAGTAGAGTCCAAAATGTTCAGATTCATCCCTCAGTCACAATTAAACAAAAGCAAATGCAAACTGCCAAATAAGTTAAACTTTGAAATATCGGCACTCGTAAGAATTGGGAAAATGCACTGAGACACTGATTATAAACACATAGATTGGTACAATATTTTAGAAGACAATTTGGCAAATATGTTCAAATGTGCTAATAGCTGGTACGTATTTTCCTTATGAACAGGATACGTCCTCAGCAAATGCTCTGAGCCTAACTGTATATGCCAGTAAGTGTACGCAAGAGCAGCACTATTCGAAACAGCAAAGCATCAAAACAAGCTGAATATCCCTTCGTGAGAACAATCAACCAAAGAATACACACAAAATGAAAGAGTTCCCAATCAAAACCAAAACAAACGAAACAAAACCTATAACCCATGACGCCCAGGTTTGAACCCGAGCTGTGGCAGAGCGGACATGGTGACACACGCCTCCAACAACACTCCAGAGGCTGAAGCAGGAGAGTAAGAGGCTCAAGGTAGCCTCACCTACATGAGATCCTATCAGGTAGGAAATGAGAGGGAAGGAGGACGGATGGAGGGAGAGCGAAGAAAGAGGCTAGAAAGCGCTCACACTGCTCCTCCAGAGGAGCTCAGTTCCTATAGGCCCTAGGTGACGCAACACCCTCTTCTGGCACCACACAGTACCTACGCACACATGGCATACTCTCCTACAGACACATCCGTACACATATTTTAAAGAAGGATGGGCTTGGGGACACACATGTTAATCCTAACACTCCAAGGAAAAGGCAGGCAGATCTCGGAGTTCAAGGCCAGTCTGGTCTACATAGCAAGTCCAGTCATACACAGCAAGACCTTGCAATCAAAACAACAAACAAAAACAGTTTTTTAAAAAATACAAGGAAATCAGGTATAGTAGCCCATTCCTATAATCCCAGCACCAGAGATGACACAGGAGGATTGCTCTGAGTCTGAAGCCAGTGTTGAGCTGCACAGTAACCTCCAGACCAGTCACTACCAGAGAGCCTGTCACCAAAACAAATAAATAAAGGCAGGCCAGGCCAGGCTTTACAGGCCAGGCCTGTAATCCCGGCTACTCTTAGGCTGAAGCAGATCTGAGGTCAAGGCCTGCCGGGGCACAGTGAACACAAGGCTAATGTCAGAGCACTGGTGTAAGCTAAAGAACTGGATGACCTGGCTCACTGCTAGAACACTGGCCTGCAGCAGGTGATGCCCTAGGTTCAGTGTGCAGTCACACTCATGCACGTGCACAACACGCACGTACACAACACACTCTCTGTCTCTCTCTCTCACACACACACACACACAGAGCAAGGGAAGGGGGCTGACCTAGCAGCTGGCAAGTCAATGTTTTCATGGCAAGTTAGTTTATGTCAAAGGGTCAAAGGGCTGTACGTTTAGTATGTCTTCGGTTTTAAATGCACAGACATTGCATACATGCACAGACACGTCCAACTACGATATGAAAAACGAGACTAAGGATGCTTGCCAGGTATGCACAGTACCCTGGGTCTGCTGCCCCAATGCCACCCAGAGAGGGGGAGCTGGGGGGAGGGATGGAGTTTGTGTACTGTGGTGCGTGTGCAGCACAGCACACGTTACAGGCAATGCATATGTAACTGCACATAAGCGCACACAGAACATGTCTGGCAGAACACCCGTGAGCCGTTACTACCTACGGGCCTATGAGAATAAGGATAACGCAACAGCACCCCAAGCACTTCACTTTTTAAAGCCGAGGTCCCGGGCCCCATCAGTATTGAAAAACTACAGCTGCCTGTGCGATCACAAACGCACACAAAGCGCTTGTGCGATCACAAACGCTCACAAAGGGAGAGATCGAAACCCTCCATGGCTGGGAAAGGCACTAAGAAGAAAGAGCCTGTCTGGTGGGTGAGGCCAGAAGGTCCTCAGCGGAATGGTCCCCACTCGCTTAAGCCCCAGGAATGTCTCTCCTAGCCCTGCCCATGACAAGCCCACCAAGTGACAGCTGTCAGACACCATTCTTCCTCAGGAAAGAGGACATGTGGCAGGCTGACCTCTGACCTCTAAAAAACGACAGCCAGCTGAGTGATAAAAATAGTGCCAACCTGATAACAGGGGAAGGACATTCCTCTGAGCCTACTTCCATTTTAAATTAGAGAAGCTAATGGAGTGAATTCCAACAAGTGAAAACTATAAGCAACCAGATAAGAAGGAAAAGTAATAATTTGGGATCACAAGCTGTGTGTGCTCCATCAATCATGCTAAGAGCCCACCAATCCGTGCACGCCAAGGCCACCCGCCTGGTCCTGCTAAAACCACACCTTACACAACCTCACTTCTTACCTTTAACCATCCCTCTGACTTGGACTATGTTTCTGCTGGACTAAAAGAAGCCACTCCCTAGACAAGAGCTCCTGCATGAAAGCACTGTGTCTGAGACACCCAGATGTCCTGTAAAATGGGGTGGCTGCTGCACACACACCAGCCATGCAGTTCTATACAAGGGACAC